GAAAGGTCAAAAACCTTCCTATAAATTCTTAAAAGTGTGGGGGTGTTTAGCTAAGGTTGCGGTTCCTACTCCTAAGAAAGTTAAGATAGGACCAAAAACCTTTGATGGTATTTTCATAGGCTATGCACAGAATAGTAGTGCATATCGTTTTCTTGTGCATAAATCAGACATTCCTGATATCTATGTCAATACAATTATTGAGTCAAGGAATGCTTATTTCTTTGAGGATATATTTCCATGCAAAAATCCTCTTAAAAGAAATTATGATACTGCTAATAGCAATATACAAGAGAATATAGACCAAGAGTCTATAGATGATGAAAATGAGGAAGAACCTAGATGTAGCAAAAGAGCTAGAACGTCTAAGTCATTCGGTCCTGATTTTCTGACATATATATTGGAGAATGAGCCATAAAGCTACAAGGAAGCTATGTCTTCTCCTGAAGCTAATTTATGGAAAGAAGCCATAAATAGTGAAATTGAATCCATCATGCAAAATCATACTTGGGAGCTGGTGGATCTTCCTCCTGGTACTAAACCTTTGGGGTATAAGTGGATTTTCAAGAGGAAGATGAAACCTGATGGTTCAATTGAAAAATATAAAGCCCGACTTGTTGCTAAGGGATACAGGCAAAAAGAAGGCTTGGATTATTTTGATACATATTCACCAGTCACAAGAATAACATCCATTAGATTGTTACTAGCTATTGCAGCACTGCAAAACTTAGAAATACATCAAATGGATGTTAAGACTGCCTTTTTAAATGGTGAATTAGAGGAGGAAATCTATATGGAACAACCTGAAGGGTTTATAGTTCCAGGAAAAGAAAAGAAGGTGTGCAAACTTGTAAAATCCTTATATGGATTAAAACAAGCACCTAAACAATGGCATGAAAAATTTGACAAAGTGATGTTGTCAAATGGTTTTAAAATTAATGAGTGTGATAAATGTGTGTATGTGAAAAACACTCAAAATGGATATGTCATTGTGTGCCTATATGTGGATGATATGCTAATAATGGGTAGTAATGATGTTATAATCAAAACTAATAAAAAGTTGTTGACCAAAAATTTTGATATGAAAGATTTAGGTATAGCTGATGTCATACTAGGAATTAAGATTTCTAGAACATCAGATGGTCTAGTATTATCTCAATCTCACTATATTGAGAAAATATTAGAAAAGTTTAATAAAAGGGATAGTAGTCTTGTAAAGACTCCTGTTGATGTAAATCTTCATTTATCGAAAAATACTGGTCCTAGCATATCACAACTTGAGTATTCTCGCATTATAGGAAGCTTAATGTATTTGACGAATTGCACACGACCAGCCATAGCATACTCAGTTAATAAATTGAGTAGATATACTAGTAATCCAGGAAAGAACCATTGGACTGCAATAATTAGGGTTCTAAGGTATTTAAAATATACTATAAGTTATGGATTACATTATTCTAGATATCCAGCAGTACTTGAAGGATACAGTGATGCTAATTGGATATCAGATACAAAGGATTCTAAATCCACAAGTGGCTATGTCTTTACTATTGGAGGAGGTGCCATATCTTGGAAATCTTCAAAACAAACTTGTATTGCCAGATCCACTATGAAATCTATGCTTTGGATAAAGCAGGTGAAGAAGCTGAGTGGCTTCGTAATTTCTTAGAAGATATTCCAAATTGGCCTAAACCGGTGCCCGCTATATGTATACATTGTGATAGTCAATCAGCAATTGGAAGGGCACAAAGTAATATGTACAACGGTAAGTCTCGACATATACGTCGACGACATAATACCGTTAGACAATTACTCTCAAGTGGGATAATCTCAATAGATTATATCAGGTCAAAAGATAACTTAGCGGATCCGTTTACAAAAGGTTTGACAAGAGAGCAAGTATATAGTTCATCGAGGGGAATGGGATTAAAGCCGAAAGCTAACGAGTCATCTTAATGGAAACCCAACCTAGTTGACTGGAGATCCCAAGATTTAGGTTCAAAGGGACAACAGAAATTCTGAATGGCTCACTAGAAGCACTGGGAAGATTCAATCTTCTACCCATTTCTACGATGAGACAGTGTTACCTACAGCGATGAGTAGGATAAGCTATGCTTTTAATGACTCTTATACCTTGAAAATTCAAGTGGGGTATGGTAGGATACTCTTAATAAGAAGTCACCTATATGAGTGTGAAGTGGGGCCGCTTATATGAGAACTTCTAAGGCTAAGTTTTCTGGAGCGCTCATGAAATACCAGGCGTTGTTCAGGGCCATATGAACACAACCGTGAGAACCGACTTTGTGTGGGAAGGAATTGTGTGTTTGCTATTGTCTTGGTTTACATCAACGGCTGAACAGTTCAAGACATAATGTTCACTGGTTAGCCAGTAAATCCGATAGTAATACACTAGGGAAGGTTCAAGGCCAAAAGCTACCTATCCCGATGCAGTAACTTTCCAATAGTACTCTCTATAGTCTCTGTATCTTCTCCTTTTGTAACTTGCGCAAATTTTCATTCATGTGGGGGATTGTTGGAAACGGCATTAGAAAACGCAAACTTTGGAAGGATTTTTAAAAGATTCTGCTAAGAATTTTTTGTGAATCTATTGACGAGCGCGTTCCTCTCTGCGAGGAGATGAACGTGGTATATTTATTTTCTCAAATCCGTTTCCGGGTGAATGAGAAATTGGCTCCAAAGTAAGTGATTTATAAAGCCTAAATGGGTGTGAATAAAGTGGGAAATGCTTGTCCCACATCAAAAAAGTAGCAAAACAACCTTGAGTATATATATGTCTAGTATGGGATTTGGGTTTGGGCCCAAGGGCACCCAAGTTTTTAAGAGGGGGAGGACCTAGGCTAGCCTGGATCCGAACCAACTACCACACGCGCGCGCGCCACCCGGTCCGGTTCAGGCTTGGGCGGGGCGGGGCTTAATTGTAAAATGGGTCTAACCTTTTTATACAAAGTTGGACTGGGCCTGTGTGGTTATTTTATTTACTGGACTTATTTAAGTGGGCTTGCGGGTGGAGCACGCTGGGTTGGGCTGCCGAAGTTTGCTTGCTGGGCTTAATCTGTTTTGGGTTTAAATTCAAATCAAAAACCATAAAACAGTTTTTGTTTGAACCAAGGGTTGCACCTTTTACAAATTAAAAACCACAAACAGATTTTTAATTTTGATTGGTCAACAATGGTTACACCCATTCAGACTATGGGTGCACCCATTCAGAATAGGCACCAACAAGCCTATAAATACCCATCATTGGGTTCATTTCAATTCACACCAATTCAGAAATCTTCTTCTCTTCTTCTGAATTTATTCTTCTAATTCTTCTTTGTTCGGTTCAGTCACTGGTTTGGGTTCAACCTAAACTGGTTTGGATTGGGTTCGAACCTTGGTTTCCAAGTTTGGGTTCAATCTTGGTCTCCGAGTTAAGGTTCAATCCTGATCTCCGAGTCTGAGTTCAACAGAGAGTATTACACCGAGCCGGTTCGCCTATTCCATTGGTTTGAAGTGCTACTACCAAAGGAAGAAAAGTCGTTGTATCTTGGGAGATAGACGCCGAAGAGTCCGTTAGCACCGCAACGGGGCGTATCTGTCTTAAGGCTATAGAATTAAATTCTAACCTCGACTTTATCAGGTTCTTTTATAGTTTTATTTTCTTGATATTAAACTATATAAATATATATATAGATTATTATAATAAATATTATATTTACAAATAATATTTAAATAAATTATACTATAATATATGATACATTATTTTATCAACAGAAGGAAGTCTATGTATACATTTTTTGTTAAACTACGTTAGCAATCAGTAAGAATAGATTACTCAACAGTAAGCAGTCAAGTATTATTTTTATTAGAACCTTACGTATCTATAACAATTACGCGAGAACTACACTGGTGACTTAGAAAATAGGAAGTAAAGTCATCATCTATGCTAAAAGACAGCTAGCAATTCCGTCCATAGTGCCTCACAAAGGTCCTATCATACACACCATAAAGATGTGGCGCAAAAGGAAAGAAGAATAATCCACCAACTCCTCAACGAAGCTTCCTTGCAATTTCTGTTGGGACAGTTTCTTGACCCTATGGCAAAAGCAACACTCCTAAAATAATGCTGTTTTCTAGCATTTTGTGGACTCGACTCTTCTAATATCCCGCTTCAACTTTGTTTGTTCCTTGCTTCATCTGTGTTGGACCGGACTGAATTGATGATCCTCCATTACTGGTAGTCAATATCTAACTTGTGTTTGGGCTTTGTCCAATATATGGGCATTGTCCAATATCTAACTTGTAATTTGCAGCCTATGGGCTTGTAATTTTACTTTTTGGGCCTAAGTCCCACCATTTGTATATTCCTATTATATACAAAAGTTGCTTAAATTTTCAAAAAAAAAGAAAGAAAAAAAAACCTTACTCATGTGTAGCAGTGGGGGTGCTGCACCCATGAACCCTTAATACGTCGAGGTACAATTCATTCACCTCCAAATAATTTACCAAAAAAGCAAAATAATAGTTTACGAAATCCCTAAACCTATCATAGTATCTATAACAATTACGCGGGAATTACACCGGTGACTTAAGAAATAGGAAGACAACTCATCTTCTCTGCTAGAACACATCAATTCCGCGTCCACAGTGCCTCACAAAATTGCTCTCTCAGGTGCAATTGAGGAAGCTTCCTTTCAGTTTGCTTGCCCCTTGCAACGAAACTTCTTATATAAACATTGATCGTTGTTTCTTCTTTCATTAATATTTTTTAAATATTTAGATTTATTTTTTTATTCTTTTAATCCTTAGTTAATTAATGAATATATTTAATTATTTCCTTTTATTTGAAAAAATCGATACTTTTTTATACTTAAAAAAAAAAAACGAATTATTTAGCGACTAAAAATTATAACATATTAATCATCTGAAGGAAAGGAGTGACAGAGAGAGAAGGTAAATGCAATAGATTGAGAAATGGCAAATAGATATGGTATAGTGGTAAATTGACGGTTAAACAAGCCATTATATATCAAATGTCTGTTACAAATCCCATATTCCAAACAACCAAAAGCAATAAACATGTACATAGATAATATGAACTCTTAATACAAATATCAACGTTGAATAAATATGAAAAAACATAAATACATAATCAAGCTTTGTTCTTCGCACTAGAAATTCATCAAGCTTTATTCCACCTTGCACCGAGAATTCACCTGCAAATAAGCCATTCACTGAATAATTACCATAATTCAAATATAACTCTAAAAGACGGTACAAAAAGAGAATGAGAAGGGGATATGTCTAAACATTTTGTGCTCTATATATATATATTATATTATATATATATAGAGAGAGAGATAAAGAGAAAAAGAAAAAGAAAAAGGTATGTATATATATATATATAAGCAATGTAATGATACAACAATTGAAGCATATATGCAACAGATATTCTGCAAATTCGGTTTTAAAGGAAGAATGATAAGAAAATAGTACAGAGAGAATGTTTACTTACTTAATTCCATGTTAGAGAAGATAGTTGAATATGTGTGTATATATATATACACATTTTAATTTCATTACGTAGAGAGGGGTCGAATTATGATTTAACAGTATCGGCTTCCCATTTCAATGTTTCCCACCAAAATTAGGTGCACCATCTACGCCAAAAGGAAGTATTGGTAACTTTGGAAATGAGATAAAAAAAAAAAAAAAAAAAAAAAAAATAGTAACTTAGGACAACACAAGGAAAAATTCTCCTTTGATGAGAAGCCAACGAATGCAGATAGTAATTTAAGTTCTAAATACTTCAGTTTTGGCAGTGTAACATATTGAGGATTGTTGGATCCCTCATTAACGTTCTCAGCCGGAAATCATCTCTTCAAATTTTGAACAGTAAAAAATGTTCAATAATTCCAAATCAAGTGGAGTCGTTTCCCATGTGAAGAGTGTCTTCAACTCATTGCAATGACTTATTTCCAATCGTCGAAGACAAAGGCTAATGAAGTTGCGGCTGCTGCTAATTATTCTTGATTGCATTGGTGATCTCTAGCAAATGCTCTGCAAATTCTCAATTTTTTTCAATATGAGGCATTCTAACTTTGACAAAACGTCCACTTGTATTCCATCTTCATCTACAATGTTTTCAAGCGCACCACATTTGTAAAGCCTGCAATATTTCAAACCATCCATGTTTTCCATGCCGAAATCCAACAGTTTTCTAGGTAATTCTCAATACTGTAATGCAATAACCTCTGAGTGCTTGAGTTCTTCCGTAAGTACTTCACATTCATCACCTAATGCGCAAGACAAAAACCTCTTGCATGGTTTGTGTTCATTACTCGATACGAGCATACATCCAACAGAAAGACGGAACTTTGTTATGCTTCCATCTCTCCACAGTTTACTATTTAGACAAAATGCTTGAGATCACCCGCACTTTCAAATCTGAATCCAAGTGAAGATAGCCGCGTCAAAAAAGCAACCTCATTTTGCAAACATTGCCAGCTTCTTTCTGCTGTTACCCCAATATTTGCATTCATATCTCCTACAACTTTCAATTCTTCTAACAGACAAAGACTGGACAACATTCCATTGGGATCCATGGCATCATTTTTGACACTGATCGCCAAACATGAAAATTTTTAACATCTAAGGCAATTAACTCCCAAATCACACAAGGCATATATACCATAGCGTTTGTTACAAGAGAGAGCACCTCAAGTCTCTTAAGTCCACTTAATTCACCAGAACCTTCAAATTATAGCAGTAATTCAAAAGCAGTGGTTTACCAAATTTGAGACAGAAGAAGGCAACGAGATGATGGTATAGTATATGATAGATCCAAATTACGGAGGATAGGCATATGATTGAAAAAATATTTAGGTATTCCTTTCAATGGAGATCCAAAATTAATCGATCGCAACAGCAGTGTTAAGAGTTTGGGACAATTTGGCATCTCTGGTAAAACGTGCAATTCACTAAACATGAATTATAAAATGACTTAAAAAAAAATCCAATCATTAGCAAAAAAATTTAAGCGTCTTTAAATAGTTAAACCAAAAATTAAATTACAAATCAATTTTCAAATAAAAATTGTAATTGTAAAATGTTAATTCTAGATTGGTAAGGTATAATTGAAGATTGAATTATTTAAAGCTTTGTAGGGATTCTTTGGTGGTAAGATAACAAATAACAATAAATGAGGGATATTATACACAAAGTGAGGGGGCCTAAAAACAAAACAAAAAAAGAGTTGGAAGGAGGCGGAGTTTTCAAACCATGGGGATTTAATGGTGGTGAAAGCAGGGAGTTCATGTGCCATGACAAGGAGAAAATAAGATTGGGATTGGCCCCGATGATATAGTCCCAGACCATGTAACTGTTTTTCCGTGATCAAATCAATTCTTAGGATTTGTAACAGTTCATTTAATGATTTCAGTGGAGTCTCAAATGGTAGTTTTGGACATTAAATGACAAAGACACAACATTAAATGCATTTGACTTAGTGGAGATTTTCTCTTAGAGTAGGCCGAAGAGTAGTAGAATTCCTTAACCGAATATTCTTGGTTGGTCATTTATGCCAGATACAAGGAAGTTGGGGTTCCACTTCCTCATATTTTACACACATAACCCATTAAAAACATTGGGTCAAGAAATTCTTTACAACTCTTCCAACTTTAAAAACATTTTCCTTTCTCTTAACATGGCATGCCACCATGTGGCACCCTCCAAAACAAATCAAAGTAAGGACCATCATGTCAAGTCAAATGGTCAAAGCCCAGCCACAAAGGCAAAAGCCAACTCCCAATTGTCAAGGCTAAAACCTTGGGACACTCACCCAGCTCATGAACCTCCATAAGAAATTTTTAGTTTTGGACTCAAGTACTGCTTGTTGAGGTTTTGTACCTGGGAGAATGTCTTGAAGTTGAGAATATATACAATGTGCCGGGTACACTGTGCATCGGGCACATCACAGCCGCCCATGTTGTACGTGTGTGGGCACGTGTACAACACGCACGGGCAAGAATGACTACAATGTGCCCAGTGCACTGTTATTTATAAGAGTACGGAATTTTCACACGGTATTTTCAAATTCTACAACTAATATAATTATATGTATGTGCCATGTGCATAAGACAACTAACTAATAATTATAAATTTATCACCATCAACAAATAATTGTGCGTCTATGCAAGGTGCATAAGACAACTAACTAATAACTATAAATCTATCACCACCAACAAATAATTATGCGTATGTGCAGTATGCATAAGACAACTAACTAATAACAATAAATTTATCACCACCAACAAAAAATTGTGCGTTTGTGCAGTGTGCGTAAGATAACTAACTAATAACTATAAATTTATCACCACCAACAAATAATTGTGCGTCTGTGCAGTGTGTATAAGACAACTAACTAATAACTACAAATTTATCACCATTAATAAATAATTGTGCGCCTGTGCAGTGTCCATAATCAGAAAAAGAATTGATGTTTTAGTTTGTACGGAAGATTGAATTCCACTTTGATTATCTATACAAATATACCCTTAGTTGTCAAAACAATAGTAAACAATTATTTTCAAGGCATCCAAATAAATAATGTACTAGTATATTTTTCCTGGAATTCATTATCAATTCTATGGAATTACAGAATACCCTAAACAGAGAAACCCACACTAGCTGAGAATATCTCCCCATTCCCTTACCAAATTCTGTGTATATAAGATATATATATATACTTATATATATATATATATATATATATACACACACAAAGGTCATCTGATGCCCCCATGTTCCATCTCTGTCACTTACTCCCTCTAAACTTCATTAACACCTCTCTGCAGCTTATCAGACCTCCGTATATAGATGTTACTAGTTATCAATTAAATACATAATTCAATAGAACTCAACAGCTAAAAAAAAGACAAACTCTAACCAATCAACTTCATGACCTCTTATACAGATGTAGAACTTTGTCAAAACCAAAGCAAACAATCTCACTTTCTATTTAATATTAAACACCCAATTCACACTAGTACTCTTAACTCTTTCTTTCACTTTCACATGCATCCTAGAAGACAAATATCGCCCCAAAAAAACCCTCGAATTATTAACACAATCTTCAATTCATAGATCTTTCTTGTAATATTAGGTACGACTTAAATTCTATTCATATATATAACAGCCCTTTCTCAGTTTTCTCTGCAAAATCATTTAAGTCCAAGGCAAGGTTCAATCCACATTCCTTGTAAAGAAAGAATTAATATAAATGAAGCCAGAATGATTGCCGTGTAACCTGCATGATTTCAAGCATTTTTTGTTCTAAGCCTCTAAGGTAAGGGGTAAATCTTCCATTTCAAGCATCCCATAAGTTTTCAAAATTCAATAATCAACCAGACCAATGAAATTAGATTCAAATTGATCAAAAAGGAGATAAAAGATTCCATAAACACGCGGCATAAAAAAAAAAAAAAATCAATTTCAGATTGGAAAAAGCGAAAAAGGAACCCAGTACCATAAATTGGAATGATTAAATGAGTTACTTACTTGTAATCTTTTGGGCGCTGCTCGTGATGAAACTGAAACTGATCTCCCAAACACAAACACAAACCCAAATCTTATCCTTCGACTTCGAGGAGCGACAGGAGCCCTAGAACACAATTCGTTTTTTCATTTTTTTTCTTGATTCGAAAAACATAAAAATGGGTAAAGAAATTTCAGTTTCTAAAAGACAGCCAAACTGAACAAAATTGGGCCCCTAAACCCAAACGTTTTATTTCTATTATGGGCCAACATTTTTTTATTTTTCTATCAGCATTTTTTTAAATTTTTGTAGGATCAATTTTTGTTTTGGGCCAAATTTTGAGGCCTAGTATAACTATATAGGTTGGGTCAAATTTTGGTGGGCCGACTAAGCCCAGGGCGGCCCTTCTCCCAATGACTTGTATATTTTAACGTCATTTATATCCTCAAATATTTTGGACAAACATTTGTTTCTTAAGGTAAAATCCTCTTGAAGTACTTTGTAGCATGGTTTGGACATAGTCCACATTTTTTGTTACATGTGTTTCCTCCCGTTCAGTTTCAGTATGTACTTTGGTCGTGCACAGAATTTAGTTGACTTTGACTACTCTAAAACATATTATTTATTTATTTATGGACATCATATATATATATATACAAATACTGATTTTGCCATGCAGATTGCACATTAACTTCTTCATCGATCTCTTGGACTTTGTCAAATGGCAGGTATAGAAGCTTAAGAAATCTCCTCGACCAGGTATTCGTATCACGTGAGTTTCAGAGGAAAGAACTCCTGAAATAGCTTTATTGATCACCTCTATACAGCTTTGCAACATGCGGGAATATGAACATTTAGAAACGATAAACTTGAGAGAGGAAAGAATATTGTTACAGAAATTACATAGGCAATCAGAGAGTCAAATATTTTCGTACTCTTCTTTTCAGCAGACTGTGCATCTTCAGGCTGGTGCCTTGATGAACTTTTGGTCATCCTTGACCGCAAAAGGACTGTTGGCCATATAATTTTGCCCGTCTTCTACCACGTGGACCCAACTAAAGTTTGAAAGCAGACAGTTTTGCAAAAGGATTTGCAATACACCAAGAGCAATTCAAGATGGAGATGGAAGAAAGAAAAGAGGAAAGGGATGAACGTGATAAAAAGATGGAAGGAAGCTTTGAAGGAAGTTACAAATTTGCCCCCAGGTGGGGGGATTCTTTTCTGGGAACCATTTGGTTTAATATTTATAACTGTTGGAACATTATTCAATTTTAGTGTCCTTGGATGCTTGCTTACTCTCCACTCTCAATTATAAAGTTTGAAATTAGATAGAAACTTGGAAAGTAATGAAACATAATTAACATTTACTTTATGGGTGTCATATCCTCGAGTCCACGTGACAAATGCCGCATCATCAATAATGGCCCACACAACTTAGTCAAATGGTCAATGAGCTACAGCACATCAATAGCAATGGCCCACATAACCAACCAAGTGATTAGCAAAGTGAGTTGTCGTGGAGTTTGAAGAGGATTTGAAGTCTAATGCTTAGGTAGCATGGAATATCGTTAGCTCAAATCACTTTGTAACTTTGGTGCCAAACTGATTTGGAATTTGAAGTCGCTTAAGGTAACACGTTTGCTGCAAAACAAGGTGCATGGCTTGCAGCATAGTGGAACCCTCCTATCATGTTTTATAAAATCTCTTACATAGCAGGCATAAGCCTAGAGAAGCTGGAAGAGTTATTTGAATCAAGTTAAAGGCTTTGTAAGGGTAAGAAGAACTTGAACTGGGGCTACTGAAATGACTTGATGACCTACATATAATGGAGGATATGGTTCAGAGTTAACTCTTGATGGAGTAGAAGGTGGGAAAATCGTGTAGCACACTCCGACTAGTTATAATTTGATGATTTATTTAGTTGCCTTGGGCTGTTATGTTTGGAGTCTTTATGTGGGCAGAACCCGGATCTTGAGGTTGGGGGGGCCAAAATTATAAGCAACATTAGAACTTTGGGAGAAAAAAAAAATATTACGTAGGCAAAAATATTTTACTATTTATTATGTTCATACAAAAATATATCTATCTAAACTTTTGCCAATTTATTTATATAAATAAATAATTAGTTATTTAAACAAGCTTTTTATCAAACTTTCTAAACAAACACAAATACAATTTATCCCAAAATTATGAAAAAAATTGATTAAACAATTAGATTTTAATTTATAAAAAAATAAGAAATTCATGTAATACTTGCACAATTTAATAATCATTGCACAATATATCAATAAAAATTATAACTATGATAAAAAAAAATACAAACAAATTAATAAAATAAGAATTTAGATTCTTCAATCATCGATTTTTACTGATATTCAAAATTTCAAATGAAATTTTTGTTCTAGATTTTGTAAAAATTAATTTCATATAGAATTCTTATAAAAGCATTTCAATAAAAAGAAATAAAAAGAAAAAAAAAAAGTAATTGGAAAGAATCATGTATGAGATGGAATTTTAGGATAATACGGTTATGAAAACAATTGTGATTGAGTTGGAAGGATTTTAAGATATTCATGTTATGGAAACAACTGTGTTTGAGTTGAAATTTTAAGATAATCATATTAAATTTTTATATGAGTCAGCTTTTATCGGGATTCTATAGTTTAAATCACTTTGCTTTAGATTATATATAAATTATTTTTTATTAAATGCTAATTATATATATATATATATATATATATATATATATATATTTTTTTTTTTTCCTTAAGGGGGCCAAGTATAGATTTTATACCATACATACTATATTATTTTTATTTTTACCTATACTAAAAAAAATTCCAAAAAAGTAGGGGGGGCCATGGCCACCCTTAGCCCAGTGCATATGTTGGGTCCCTGACCTGGTTCCCAGTTGTTGCCCCATGCATAAAGTGTGGTAGTAATGTGAATGCGCGGTGAAATTAGAAAAGATAAAATTAAAAATGATCACATTCGTGAGATGATTGGAGTAGCATCAATTGGAGATAAAATAAGAAAATCGGTTTAGATGGCTCGAAAATGTGCACAAAAAGGCCTCAAGTGTGCCAGCTAGGAAGACGGATATAGTCCGCACTAAGAGTAATACTAGGGGAAGAGGAAGACCAAAGTTGCAGATAGAGTAAGGAAAAATATGGCAATGTATGGTTTGACTGAGACCATGACCTTAGAAAGGAATAGAAAATAAGATACAAGTGACCGACCCCAGGTACTTAGAAAAAAGGATTTGGCAGTGGTTGTAATTGTAATGATTTTTATTGGTATAAAAATTGTACTGTGTGGAGAACTCAAACATGTAAGTGATGAGGCAAAATTGTTTTTTAGAAGTGGGGTACTTTTTCTAGTGACTAGTGCACATTGTCCAGTTTTGAGTGAAGTGGTTTACTTGGCACACAAGACGATTAAAAAATTGTTAAAAAAGAATTGCCAAATCTTTTTTTGTCATGTCTACTGTTCCTTGACGACATGAAATTTCCTTGTGTAGTATTCACTGGTAGATTTGTTGCATATATTAGGTCTTTATTGCGTGATATAACAGTAAAATGATCCATGTGTGGCTGAGTAAATTTTCGGATATTAAGTCTTGACTCTGTTGGATATTCTGTACTGCAATGTTGCAAGTGTTTTCTTGATCGGCTTTTAAGTTTCACAACCTTTAGGCCCTTTGGGGATGCAGGGTAATTCAATGGGCAGACTTCATAAATGTTGGTTGTCTAAAGCACATTTGTCACATAGTGATGTAAACAAAAAGGGACATGAGTGAAATTGGACTCAGGAACTTCATATTTAGTTCTTTAAGGAAAGGATTCGATATTGTATTCTCTGTTTGCATGTTTATTCCTAACTTTTTAAATGTGCATATCTTCTTTTGTTAGTTGGATCAAGTTGATCAACTATGGTCCATGCATGCTTCATTCCACTGCTTTGACATGTAAAGCTTTTTTATTTTATTTTATTTTATGATTTCTTTCTTCTTCTTCTTCTTCTTCTTTTATGTTTTTTCACTACTATCAACGGCGGATCAACATAGGGGCCAAGCCCCTCTACACCGTTGAAGTTCGTACCTTTTAAATGGCCTCTAGCATCCATTTGAAATTCTGGCTCCGCTCTGACTGCCATTGTGCTTATATGTGGATGTTTTAAACTTGTATTGTTGAGCATCTGCCTTCAGATGGTATGTCCCTTTGCATGTGGGATTCACTGTGATCTTCGCTGACTGGGCTTCGACTAGTTCTCTTAAATAGTTGTCCACCATTGGAATTCCCTGGTAGTGCTGCCAGCATGCATGGAAAATATATTCCTTCCAGAGGCATCATCGTCTGAAAAGGAAGAATATGCTATCCCTGCTTAAGCCTGAAATGTCACTCCTAAAAGGTCCGGTTGCTATTTTATGTCCATAGGCGCTTTATTACAAGCCAGCTTGTTGGTGAAACTAGTTTGAGACCACGACAATCTCCTAGTTGTTTCTTAAAATGGAATCTCCCAGTAATGAAAATCACCATTGCTTGCTTCTTCGAGGTCTCGACGTCAATTTTCAACCTAGTGGTGCAATGGCCTTTCAATCGATAATATTGCTCAAATCTCACATTTGAAGGGGTCAAGTGGCGCAGTCTCATGCCCATAAATGAATTTCTCTTAAAAGTCTTAAACGAGAATTACTCTTATGGAGCATGAACAGAAAATTTTCTAGGATAAAACGCTTTGTTGTTCTCTTTTATATAGGTATTTTTACTTGTTCTCTTTCTTTGGGTCCTTGGTTTGTGCTGGTGAATTTCAGCATGGTATCGGATCCATGCATGGATAAGTGAATATATTTCAAAGTTTTAGCAAAGATTATCATCATAGATTCATATAGCTGATGTAAATAGTCGGGATAAAGTTCTATTCAGTATTTTTGTAAATTTATATGATAGATAACAATGTCCATCAATTCCCTACACCACACTAATAAATAGTCCATCAGACAGATGCAATGGTAGAGAGATGGGTTTGTTTTGAGAAACCATTATGTTCAACACCTGATGTTGTTTTCTTTTAAAAACTTTTTTTTTCTAACTTAGCTTCTAACGCCTATAAGAACTTATATTCTTTTTGACAGAGCTTTTAGGCATCTCGGCTGAAACTGTCCATCAGCTAATTCCAGATCATGCTCGAAAGCACAATTTGTTCACGGCTCTGAACGACTAGCAACTGTTCTGTTTTTCTCGTCTTCTACATGCTTTGCAACAATAGTCTGTCGGCCTTGTGTCATATGTAAATTGTAAAATTAGTTGGTCCACGTATTTATCTTTCGAAGTAAAATTTGCAAATGGAGTAACCAGGACTACCACAAGAATGAGGCTCTTAATTTGAGTGTTAATGAATGTTTTTCTTTTTCTTTTTCCATACTACAGCATGAGAATGTATTTATTTTCACCTTAGATAATGTATTCTGTTCCAGTAAATCTTTCTCTAGTACCCTGTGTAGGTGGGACCGGCTTTAAACTATTATTATGTTGGTCATTAAGAAAAAAGTTTAAATAGTACAGAAATCTGGGTTGAGTAGATAATCAAAGTTGTATCGGATCCTGTACAATATTAAATTTGGCTAGTTTGTGTACGCTCTTATATGTTAGTGAATATTAGTTCGTGTAGCTTTATAAATATAGATTTGTACTCAGGTCTCAAGATCAATTCCAATTAGGTGCAAACAATTCCTCCCGAAAATACCGAGTACGTAGTACTTTGGCATGGAGTACTCTATAGCAAGGACCACCCTAGAGTATTTAATATTTTTCTCTCCATTAGGTTATTATAAGTTCATGAATGAAATAAAAGCTATCTCAAACGTGAGCTTTAACATAGCTTGAAACACAAATATGATATCAAGATTGGTTTATTTATTTATTTTATTAAAAACATATTTCAAAATAATGATAAGCAGAGTTTGAGTTCAACTTTTCGAGTCTGTTCTGATCAACCCGCAAAAGCCCAGATGTGGCATCCACTTAATTCAAAAGTTGAAAACTGAAGTTTCAAGCTCATCACAATTATAAGACCTTGTCTCATCAATGGATATGGTTGCATTTGTGAGTAATGTGCCCAATGGTCTTTTTATGATTGATGGTGTGATGATAGCCGTTTTATAATGGACACAACAACTAGAAATTCAAAAATCAAGAAAGTCGAGAACGAAGTTACAATACATCTACCTACACCACACCATAATTGGTACAGTAAATACCTAGAGCAAATATATACATTGATGTAAGAAGAATCGGAAACTAGGGTTGCCTTAATTAACAAAGTGATATCTTGAATCCACAAGGAAAAAGAGAATTTGTAGAGAAATATGATAATATACTGATATCTACTTTGCAGTACATATACTTATAAATGAAAAAACCCTAATAGCATAAAAGAAACCTTAAAATCATGAGAAAACTTTTAAAAAATAAACTGAAAATTCAAAAACTGCAAAACACCAAAAAGGAAAGTGATTTGAATCCGTTTACTCTTCTAACGGAAATTCTAAAATATTCAAAATTGAGAAAATGCAACTCCCGATCCCAAAACGATTGAATTAAGCCAAAAAAAAAAGGCCCTACTTCAGCAAGACTGGATGTTGTTCTGGTTGATATGATAAAAAGTGTGGCGGTGTCAAATAAAATATATATATTTTAATTAATATGTCTACTATAGCAAGACTAGAGGCTGAACAAAAGTATAATTGAAGTAACAATACAATGAAATATTAATTAAGATTGAAATAGTTTGTGGCCAAAATATTGCAGTCAAGAAATTTTTAAAAAATATATATAAAAAATTTGCAAATAAAGAGAAAAATATAGTTTGATTGTAGAAGGGGAATGCAAAATATTTTGAAGCCAAAAAATTAAGGGGGGACATTGACTAAAATTTCAAAATAAAATAAAATATTATATGCATAAAAATAGAAAAAAGCAATGTTGCAGTGGAAGTGATTAGAGAAAAAGCCAACATTATCTTTAGTAGTAGTAGTAGTAGTAATGTTGCACTGCAACATTGCTCTTTTCTTTTCTTTTTTTTTTTTAAAAAAAATAAATAAAACATACACACACCTATATTTCAGTGATTGTAATTTTAATGAATAGAACATCATTGTAAAAGTTGTAGAAGCAGCGAGGTATATATAACTCCTCTCTGCTTGCAAATAAATAAAAACATGCCATTTTCATTTTCTCCTATAACATGATCCACTTTGAAAGTTAATCTATAACTAATTTACTCTTCCAGTTTTATATTTTGTTTTCATTTTTAGGAATCACGTATACTCAATAATTAAAATAATAGTATTATGGATGAAGTCTGCCAATATAGAATATTATATATATTTATACAAATGTAGTAATTGTTGAGGGAGAGAGAACACTCATGTTTTACATTTTGTTGACACTCCTCTCAGTAGCTGCCACATTGCATTGACCATGTGGTCTACCACATTACATGATGTTATTCTTCAATTTTTTTCAATTGAAAAAGAAAATACAAAATTTAAGAAATTTTTTAATGTTAAAACATCCATAAGGTGGAGAAAAATTATTGACAAATTAATCATTATGCCGTTAATATCATTTGATAAAAACTAGTAATGATATATTTAGCTGTTTAGCAATAAACAAGATAATACAATAATAATAAATTGGTATAAAGGACAAGGTCATTTTGGTATTAAAAAAAATGAGATAATAATGAATACAATAGCAAATATACGAAGCTATACCTCTGCAACCACCAGGATTGCAAATGCTTACCTGTGAGTGGCCAATTTTTTTAATGCTTAAGCAACATTTATGACACGTGTAACCATCTTTTTCATAACTCTAAATATGAAGTCATACGGATATATTCCTGAACAGTTTATAATGATGGGAGAAGTAGTATCGACCGGAATGCTGGTATGCTGATAAATCAAGACAAGAAATATAGTTATTAAGCAGGGTATCCTTCTCCTCTTCTTCATATACAATGTCGACTCCTAACTCCTTTACTTGATACACCTTTTCTTGATTGATGACGGTCATCATCGTTGAAACAACCACTTCATCACCAACTTCCAACTGATTCCCAATCTTCCAATGGCTTGACCATCTCATACTTTCCCCCTCATCTGGAATCCCTTTACACACCGGGTTATAGGACCACATCACATCCTTGGTCTTATTGAAGGTGTGAATAACACATTGATTGGCAAAATAGTTGGTGGAAGAGTATTTATTTGTATAAACAACGCATATATTCAAGCCTCGGATCTTGAGAATAGGAAGTGAAGGAACATTGAAACATATGGAGGACTTTCTACTCTTTTTGCTGAACCAACATGGAACCTCATTTCCAGGATGAAATATGCTGACTATTCCGCACTCATACAGTGCCTGATCCATGCAAATCATCATAACTTCAATTACAATAGGAGAGAATGAGAGACAGATATATATATATATATATATATAGAGAGAGAGAGAGAGAGAGAGAGAGAGAGAGAGAGTGACAGAGAGAGATCACCTGGATGGGACCAATATTGTACATACGCGTTACGTGATTGTAAAATTTCATTTCAACCTTTCTTATGGATTCCAACTCAACCAATCCGAAATTATTGATCATTTCTGCATCAATGTTTTGAATGGGTTCTAACCTGAACCAGTTCTGAGCCTCTACTAGTTTGTCATATCCCAACGCATCCACGAATCCCTATAGTTTTGATAGATTCATCATCATTTTCAGTGATGTATAATGGCTTAACCTCAAGCTTTGTAAGCTCATTGGTAGCTCTGGAAGCAATTGGAGTCTTTCGCACTCTTCCAATTCAAGTGAGTGGAGCATGGTGAGTCCTTTGATGCTCTCTGGAAGGCTACTGATTGGATTTCCCCCTAGATTCAAGTTCTGCAACAGGGACAGGCTACCAAGATCCCTCGGAATGGCATCATCTGTCAAATTGCAGTGTGCAAGATTCAAGCTTACTAATGAGCGTGGCAAGCAAATCAATGAACAACTGATCAATTCTGGAGACTTTCTTGGTCTAGGAACCCAAGAGAACCAGCGTGATTGCCAAGATTTTATGTCACTGCTGGTAGAGGCTAGTTGTTTTATTGCAACACCATCTGCGTCGAGAACCTTTAAAGATTCCATCTCGCACAGCTCTCTCGGCAACTTGTCAAGATTTGAGCAACCAGAGAGGATGAGTTTCTCTAGAGATTTAAGCTGAGCTATTTTTGTAAGAAGATTCCTAATATTCTTGCAGCCTTTCAGATTTAACAGAACAAGTCTCTTTAATTCCCCAATGGATTCGTGAACCCCGATCAAATTTATGCAATCTTTAAGAATCAATCTCACAAGATTATGGAATTCTGAGAAATTGGGTGTATTGGTAAGGCCATGGGAATGACTGAGATTAAGGAATTGCAATGATTTGAGCACCTGTGAGAAACAAGCAAGAAAGTATAAATATTCATACATACCCCCAAAGAAAAGAAAATTATTTTTAAAAAATTTAATATAGAAAAAATAAAAAACCAAGAAAGTTAGTAGTATCATACCTTGTTTGCATTCCAAAGTTGTTTTAAGGTGCTGTTTCGCAAATCAAGAGCAACCAGACTCTCTAGAGGAAACTCACTAGGTATCGATTTTAAGGGGAACCCACGCCAACACAACCATCTTAACTTCTTAGGAAATTCTTTGTAGTCTCCTGTTAGCATTACATTATTGAGCTGGAGTAGTCTTAATTTGTGCATCCTTGAAAATGCATCAGTTTTTAAGTCCACTTCATTTGATGTGGAAAATGATTCTGTCGAGGTAGAGTTTGTGGGGAGCCATGGGAAGAGTCTTAGACGACGGCGCTTTGATGAATTGATTCCACAAGGCAATGTTAATTTGTCAAGAAAATCTTCATAATGACGTCTTTTTGAATTATCTAAATCAAAGAAATTCTTAGCAAGCCAATCTTGCTCAGACACATGCAAATTTAGAATAAGGCCTTCAATTGTTTCTGTGCCCTGATAAGAGAGGTTGATAAGTAGCAGCTAGCCAAAAATAAGAATCAAAAAACGTGAAAATAAAGGCATAAGGCATGTTTCTTACAGTTTTTTCTCTTAATACATTTAAGGCATCCTTGTGATGCTACACTATGCTGCGCTTCCCAGGCTCCTTAGGTAGTTCTTGAAGTATAATCTCCCTTCCCATCTCTCGAATCAAGTCATGCATTGTCAACTTGTTATTTACATCGATTGTCAAGAGACATCTGTTGATAAGATTTTGAATCCCAACTTTCGTGTAAAAACCACATTCATCTAGTATTGGAATTATGAAATCCATGTCCTTTCTAAGAAAGAAACAAGAAAGGTCGAGGAATAAATTTTTGTCATGCTCATCCAGTAAAGAATCAAAGCTTAATCTGAGCTTTTTTATGATCCGACTGTCAGGAATTGCTTCCATTTTCTCTATTGCACTTTTCCACACATCAATGCTACTCCCAGATAGAGAAGAACCAAAACTTTGAAGAGCTAAAGGATGCCCTCCGCAGTACTGTACAACCTTTTTTGTGAGCTCCATATATCCCTCAATGGGGTGGTCTTGTCCAAAGGCATGCCAGCTGAAGAGTTGAAATGATTCATCATGAGTTAAACCTTTAACTCCATGTCGCTTGTGCATTTCATGTGCCTTCAACAATTGTTCATTTGTAGTTGTTATGATAATTTTACTTCCTTGTTGAAACCAACTCCTCATTGTGAGTACTGCATTTAATTGGTTTCGGTTTTCCACATCATCAAGAACAAGTAAAATTCTTTTGCAGCAAATAACTTCTCTTATCTTTATGATTCCTTCATCAACATTGCAAATTTTTGCTTCTTTCCCCTTTAAAATATCTGAAAGAAGTTGTCTTTGTAAGCGGACAAGACCACTGGGTTCTTTTGATGTTTCTCTTACATTTGCAAGAAAACTGCTACCTTCAAATCTGTCAAAGTGCAGGTTATACACAGTTTTTGCAATGGTTGTTTTCCCTATTCCATGCATCCCAGAGATTGCCACTATCCCGACTTCGTTTGATCCATCTTGCAACCACAAATTAATGTTTTTTATACGAATATCTAATCCGACTGGATATGAACAAACACTCAATACTTTGCGATTCAATTTCTTTCCAATATCTTTAACAATTTCTTGAATAAAATTTGACTCATACCTACCAATTGCAAACTTCTTGTTAGTTTAAATGAATTAAGGAATTAATGAAAATGCAAACAAGAGATAATAATGATTTATTGGATAAAAATTGACTCATACCAATATACAGCAATGGGAATAGGAAGGGGAACCAAAAAAAGGAAAACGAACAATGTTGTACTTGAAATGAATCAAGAAGTTAAATGAAAATGAAATATATATACACACACACACCCACACATAATAAATTTCATGTTGTTTAGTTTAGCCATTACCACTCAAATATATTCATACAGCATGTTAACTATTGTAAAATCTTGAATTAATAGAATTACATAATCAATGATTGTTAAAGATATTTAATTGAAAGGAAAAAAATATATTTGTAGCAAAATGCAAGAATATCTACAAAATTTCAAATCTATCTTGAGTAAACAATTTCAAGATAAGGGTTTCTTATTGTTCACAATCCTCAATGGCATTTCCATTCTAAAAGTTTAATCTTCTTATTTCTAGTTACTAATTATCGACTTTATTTGTCCACTTGCTTTCAAGTCATTTAAAACATTTAGAATCTAATTTATGGAAGACTTTAAATTCAAATTTTGAAGGGAAATTTTTACCAAAAAAAAAAAAAAAAAGAAGAAGAAAAAATGTGAGTCTTACCATTTTGTATACATTTTGCATTAGTTTCTTTCAAAAGTTAATTAGATATTGGTCTTATTCTTTTAAGCACACCATAACTCTAATGAGTACTAACTATTGATAGAAGAGAGTTAACCAATTAATTGATTAATAGTATCTAAAGCGATTAAGATTTTGTGGCTCAGGACCAAGCCTATTGGGGTTTAAACTACTCTGTGGACCATATGTATTTAGTAATATATTGAACTATATATAATACTACTACCAAGTATCATTTATTAGGCTTTAACTTCAATCCATTAAAATTTATCACACAGAGGCCTAGGCCATAGGTTGAAGTAAAATTAGGTTATTGGGCTTTAACTCCAGGCTTGTAGTTGAACTCATATATTTATAGATGATGAGTGCTCAAATGTGACGCATTTTAGTACCTAAGTTAGGGTATTTTAGTCCATTCATCTATCTTACTTTCATGTCTTAAGTATTTATTTGTGTTATTGCCTATTTCAGGTAAATAAAGTTCAAACAGGCTAACAAGAGCCATTTAGTCCCATTTTGGAGCTAAGGAGCAAAGTTGGAAAGAAGCCAAGGAAATGGTCTCTGAGGAACTTTGATCGATCAAAGGGAGCTTCTATCGATCGAAGTTAGGCGATGCCAACTCAGCAAAGTGGATAAAGCCAAAGAAGATATTTTCGAGCCACGTCACCTTCAATCGATCGAAGTTAAGTGTTTGATCGATCGAAGATCTTCGATCAATCGAAGTGCCTGGCAGTGTGCTGTCTAATTCCCAAGCGTGCCGAATTCTACCTAATTTGTATCGTTGCGAATTTCCTCCAATCATAGGCTATTTTTCTAACTTGGAGGCTAATTAAAAGAGGAACGTAATGAATTAATTGAACATCTTATCAATCTATCTTCTATTATTCATAGAGTAGATATTTTTTACATAGTTTTCTCTCTAGAACTAGGGTTTTGGGAAGAAAGTAAGGATGAAGATGATGATGACAACCTCCAAGCTATCCCTTAAGGGTTCCATGACCACTACAATGAGTGGCTAAATCCTTTACTTGGGGGTAGAGATAGCCCCTAAGTTTGCTTTATAGACCTAGTCTTTTGTACATTTTTGGGGATTTTAGTTGTAATAAATGTTTTAATCTTGAATAAATAAATATCTTGTAGTTTTTACTTGATGTGTTTGGATTAATGCTTTCAATTGATCATTTATTTCTATCCATATGTCTATGTATGCTAGAATGGATGTTCATGTGCTTTTCTTTAGATTTAATGGAATTAATGTATGTCTATGTGTATTGATGTTGTTAATCTAGTGATGGTCAAAACATAGTGCTTAACTGAATACTCTTGTGATTTATTTGATGGTTCACAGTTGTTTCTTGATGGATTGTGCCACACCTTTAGTTTAATTAGCTTAATTTTCATGTCTCTAACCTAGATGTAGTGTAATTGCTTTAAATTCTTACATAGGTGGAATATCTATTCTTGTTTCTTGATGTTCTATACTTATGAATGCAAAGGGTACATTTCATTTGGCCATTTGAAAGTGAAGTTGAACATTTTTAATCCAATCCTGAGTTCAATGGACAAGCATGAAGATGTGTGTGTTGTTGAAAAATACATTGAAAGTGAATTTGAAAAACATGATTTTTTACTTGATGTTGGAACTTCAAAAGATTCATCTTCCAAAAAGATTTCAAAGAAAAGTGTTTTTAAACCAAGTGTTGAAACGGCATGGAAGCCCCAGAGTCTTGTTGACAAAGGACCTTTAAATTCTCTTGAATCAAATCCAATAAGTTCCTTCAGGAATGATTTATTGGGTGGGATCAAAATTCCATTCACCCCGCTAAGGAGGGGATGCATACCAAGATCTTTGATCCGAGCTAAAAGAGCACAACGTGTTGCTAGAGACGTTAAAGACTAGTGTGTTTTGTAGGGTTCACAACCCTATTCCTCCCTCATTTATGGTTTTTATGTTTTCTTACGTCGTCTAGATATGTGTTGAGTTGAAAAATCTGGCTTACGGACCATTTCTTGCATTTTGTGCACTTCCAGTGAGGTTTCGATCAATCGAACCACCTGGGTTGAGGACTTTTCAAATTCCATCTTGATCGATCGAAGTCAATCTTGATTGATCGAAATCCACTTCGATCGACCAAAGTTGAGAGTTCGATCGATCGAAATACTTCGATCGATCGAAATTGTGTCATTTGAATTTTTCGGAAACTCCTTTGGCCGTTCAGTTCCTTTAATATTTTTTTATTTTATTTTATTTTTTTCTTTTTATTTTTCCCTCTGTTCTATTTTTCTTTCTTTTCTTTTTTCGTTTCTTTTTCTATTTCCTTTTTCTTCTTCCCTCTCTCGCCCCAAACCCTAACCTCCCTCACTCCCTCTTCCCAAATCTTCCTCCCTCTCAATCCATCTCACTCTCCCTCTCAATCTCTCTTAACCTCTCTTTCATAGCTGCCACCACTCCACCTCTCTTCTCAAGTGCCGACAAACTCCAAAGAAGCCAAAACTTCATTGCCGCTAACATCCATTTTTTCCTGCGAGATTTTTGGCCCAAAGGCCAAATCTCATCTTCCATTCTCTCTTTTCTCATTCGGGTAGCATCAAATACATCGTCTCCAGCCAATTTAGGCCAATGAGACCTTGGTTTCAAGTTCCAGTGAGCTCTGAACTTTCCGGCGAAACTCCGATTGTCTTTTTTGCCATGGTTGGCCGAAAAATCTTTAGAATCTCCCTCTCCTTCTCTATCTTTGATCTTTTTTTCGGGTATGTGAAAAAATAGTTTATTTTTATTATTATTGTGTTTCTGTTTGCTTTCTTTTCTTTTATTTTTATTATTTTTATTTTATTTTAATCTCTTGCATTTTAGTTGTTACTTGTTTATATTTTTGTAGACATATAAAAAGGGAAAACAAAATAAAAATTGAAAAGAAGCAAAATAACTAAAAATTAAAAATAAAAATGCAAAAATATTGGGAACATTTGATTTGGATTGGCCTTTGATGTTGGCTGAATGTTAATGGGAACAAAGTAGACATGGATGAATGAGATATGGTTATTGTAGTTGTTAAAAGGAGAATAGGCAATATTTAATTGGATTTGTGGATTAATTGTGGGCTGTTGATGAGTGCTGAAAAGTGTGCATTTAAATCCCTTAAGCTCG